ATTTTATTAGACTATAAACTCATACACTGTTTTATGGGAACATTACAATAGACCACCATGATTGAGATATATAAAGCACATTTTCATATGTGCTTAAAAATTATTTTTATTTACAAAAAAAATAAAAAATTATACATACATATATATATATATATATATATATATATACATACACACACACACACACACACACACACACACACATACATACATACACATACTATAAAGAGTTCTACTTCTACAGAAGGAGGGCCTTGGCAAAGCTATGTATGCTAGTGCTCCCCTACCTTTGCTAACTAACCTTTGCCTTCCTGCCTGTAAATCTACCCAATGTATGTGCCAATCTCTGCCATACTGTCCTGTCTTAATTTCTAATCTAGTGCCATGACACACCTGCTGGTGTTACACCAATTCTTGTACTTTTCATCAGAGTGAAGAATTATATTTGCCCCAGACAGATATTTAGGATGCTGGAGAGGACAAACATGTTCATTTTTATCTTTATAATTTGTATTCAAGTAGTTTTGCAAAAGTGAAATAATCCCTAAAGGGTTAGATTTTACATAATATATTTAATTTAAAAAAAAATTGCAAAACAAGTCTCAACTAATACCTTTACAGATTATATACATTCTGTCTAATAAAATGTGCATAATCCCATTTTACTATGTAAAAATACAGTTTAGCTCAGCACACCATCAACCAACCAACATATTTACTTCTTAGGGGGAAAGTAGATAAATAAAAATTGCCTAGTAGATCTACTTAGCTTATACACAAAAAAAAAAATACACACAAAAAGGGAAAGCCTTTAACTTAATTGGCAGTAGATTTGTATGCACACATGAGAAATATGAATACAGTATAATTACACATATAAATGCAGTGTCTAAGGGTGCAAGGCAATGTTTAAATATGCATGAAGTGAGTTTGCTCATGTGGCAAGTTAATGTGGATTGGACAATCTCCCACTACTACTGCACTGAGTTTATTATTGCACAGACAGGCTTCGTATAAAGCAATGTACTAATATCGCTTCCCCATATCATAACATTGTATCCCCAGGTGAGAATCCAGTGCTTGCTTACCTGTTGAGTTTCAAAGCGAATGCTCTCCTCTCTGCGCTGGATAGGGAAGCCATGGTAGTCCAGTTCTGTGGCTGCCAGCAAAGGGCAATCAGCAGCCCATACAGCGCTGTCTCATGCCATGGGCTGTCACGAAACTGTCACTTTGTAAACTAGGAGAGCACACACTTCCGTATTTCTCCACCCTGACCCTGCATCAATGATGGGGGAGGAGGGATATCCCACAGCTCAGCTGCAGCTTAAAGCCTGGGTTCATTTCACAATGTTCAGGGCGAGTTCATTTCTTAACTGGAGGTTTTTACCCCCCTCAGGCACCAAGGAAGGATCTACATCTCTTCAATGGTGCAATGCAATCTTATGGTAGCTAGTATCAGCCATTGCATACTAACATTGGTAAAGGTAAATGAAAGTTGTTCACTGGGCAAGAGGACGAGTTGCTGTTATCAAGATTCTATTTGGCTCTACACAGACAAGTCCTCTCCCTGCCCCCTAGTTCTTTGGTCCTGGTTCAAACTTGAGTTCACTTTACATATTGCCTTGGTATTAGGAATAATCTTGTTGTAATGTGACTCCAGGCTGACAGGAGGTTAAGCTGCTCCAATTTCTCTTTGAAATACACCACTGCTCCATTCCAAGATGTATTTATTAGTTAATACTGTATATATGCGTTGACCCTTCTAACAAGATACTTTTTAATACCTTCTCAGGACATTCAACATAACCTTGGCATATAAATAGTTAATGTCTCACAATATTCCGGATATATTCGTCATCCAAAATTCAGGGTGTTACTTCTCCTTTTTGAAGAAGTTTAGTCTTACTTCTGCAAAATGCACAATAAAAGCGACATGATAATATGAGTCACTATATGCAAGACAGCCCATATGCATTTGGACAGTGACACAAGTTGTTTTAGCTCTGACATTCGGCTCATTTGACTTGAAATAAAAGAATGTGGAATGAAAACTTACTTAGTTACACTCTGCTGCCCAAATACTGAAAATAATAAATCACTGTTTAGGAGATATACCCCCAATAGACTGTAAGCTCGTTTGAGCAGGGCCCTCTTTAACCCTTAGTTTCTGTGAGTTTTCTTGTAATTGTCCTATTTATAGTCAAATCCCCCCTCTAATAATATTGTAAAGCGCTACGGAATCTGTTGGCGCTATATAAATCGCAATAATAATAATAATGACCACATGCATGCTGTATGCATTTTTTTCATTGAAGGTATATATAAAGGTATTCTCCAGTGCCAGGAAAACATATTTGTTTTCCTGGTACTGCAGGACCCTGGAGTGCCCCTCTTCCTCCAACCCCCCATCCCAGGTTGCTGAAGGGGTTTAAACCCCCTCAGTGACTTACCGGAGTCCAGGAGGACTTAACCCTGCAAGGTAAATATTGCAGTTTATGAAAACTACAATAAATACACTTGCAAGGTTAAGGGTAGTGGGAGTTGGTCTGGGAGCCTGGAGTGTCCCTTTAAGGTGGTTTGCAAAAACTGTAGATCTCCTGTCAGAAGCCTCTAAAACCCCCTTTTCTAACCACAGCCAGACTTTCTGTGACTGTTCAATTACAGACTGCCCAATGCAGCTCAATGAAAAGTCTTTGCAAGGCAGGTGCTCTGGGCAATTGCTGCCTCTTGTTCAGTGCAAATAAGCTAACCAAACCAGGAAGTAACAGGACCTGTTGCCTGCTTGAAGCCAGTGGGGTGTACCCAGTTGAGAGCTGGATGTTCCCCATAGGAGTCACTTAATCCAATGTCACTTTACATTCTGAAAAAAAAATTGAACAAAAATATATCACAGTGGCATTTGTAGATGAGATAACAGGGGCTGGAGTTCTGAGTGTGGTCTATAAATGTTCCAGGGCTTAATTTTGGCCTAATTTCATTGTTAACCCTGAGTCCCATGTAATACTGAGAGAGAAATAATATCTCCATTTACATAATATGTGACTATCCCACCTTAATGCACCATTCTTGAATTAACTGACACATTGAAGAAGGGGTGTGTCTGCGGGTGCAGTGTTTCAATGTCGTGCGGTGCAAGGGCTAGTTAACACAGCATGTCTTGGGTTTAAAGGGAACCTGCTACCACTTCTTTGACCCTCTGTTCCCTCACCCCAATCTCATTACAGACCTCTCCTCCCGCAGTCTTCACTCACTTTCCATGCAAACCTCCTTCATGATGCTGTTAGGCTGCCTCGTTGACATCAGTCAGTCTATTCCTATACTCCCTAGCCAGCAGTAGCAGCATTGGCTAGGAAGTTACCATGTCAACTATAGAGCATGTGCTATGGTTTCTTTTCAAATAATTTTTATTAAAGTTTTTTTGTATAACAGATGATAATAATACAAACATTGTATTAGGGGTAGGAAAGGAGGGGTAACATGGAAATGGGAAGGGGTATCCATCCATCAATGAAATAAACATATTAAAGTATATGGCAAAAAGAAAAATGTTTTACAACAATGCACTTTAACAATAAATATATCAAAGACCATAAACTGTTTTGATTTTTTCTTCCCATTTATCCCAGTTATATTTTAGTATTGGGAAACCATGCATATTGGCTCTGTGTGATAATTCATGTGCCTTATTTTCTAAAATCAAATTAAAAACTTCTCTGAGAGATGGCACATTTTGAGACTTCCAATGTCTAGGTAAACAGGATGTAGCAGCGATCAGAATGTGGCCTATGATTATTTTATCTGATCTGTTAACGGACTCCGGGAGTTTTTTAAATAAGGCTAGTTCCGAGGTTAAGATACTAATGGTTCCGTTCACTTTAATAATCAGATCGTGGATCATTTTCCAATAATTAATTAACTTGGGGCAGAACCACCAGATATGGGCCATATTGCCCACTCCCCCACAGTCTCTCCAACACCGGTCAGAATACATATTGTTCATGTTATGTAATCTAGACGGAGCCAGGTACCAGCGATATAAGATTTTATAATGATTTTCAAAATGGTCGGTGCAATATGAAATACCTTTTAAACCTTTAAAGAAACCGAACCATTCTTCTAAATCGTACTGGGCACCCAACTCCGTCTCCCATGACAGCATATGTTTTAATTTAATTAAGGGCTTGGCAATATGAGATAAGTAACATAAGGATATCATACCTTTACTAGCGGGGCTGTATAAAATAACTTTCTCTAAAGGAGATATCTCAAGTGATTTATAGTTTTTATCTGTTTCAGGTACCTGGTATAGTTCTTTCAATTTATCAATGATTATCATACATTCCAGTTCACATGCATTCGACAATCCATACTTAAGCTTCAATTTTTCCAAAGAAAGAATAGCATTGCCATAAAAAAAATTGTCCAGATTAGTTATAGAGCAATCCTTCAATAATTCTATTTTTAAGGATGGTATATGATCTTTCAATAATTCAATAGGCATTGCTCTATATAAACTGGGAGACTGGTCATTTTTAAAAACAATGTCCCAGGCCTTAAGCGTAGTCCTGGTGGATAAAAATAATTTTGTAATTCCAGGTCTTTTCTTAGGATTTAACCAAGGTAATTCTGATAGTCTAACCGGTGACATTTTTGATTCCTCTATCTCCATCCATCTGGGTTTATCATCCTGGTTGTTAAAGCTCACAACCACTGCAGCGTTAGTGGCGAAATAATATTTGAGGATATCGGGGACACCGATACCGCCGTTCGATTTATGGTGCTGCAGGGAAGTGAGCCTCACTCGGGCAGGCTTGTTCCCCCATATAAATTTCAACATTGTCGAATGAACTTTATTAAAAAATGATAATGGAATGGACAGAGGAATGGTCCTAAAAAAATATAAAATTTTGGGGAGTATCGTCATTTTAATAGATGCGACCCTCCCCAGCCATGAGAGCTCCATCCCACCCCATCTCTCCATCTCTTTTTGTAGGTCTGACCATGCTTTCCTCAGGTTGTGATTGTGCATATTGACCAAATTTTTGCATAAATTAATGCCAAGATATTCCATATATTCAGTTCTCCAATCAAATAAATATGATTTCTTAAGGGCAATGGTTTCCAAATTGTTTAAATGAAACGGGAGGGCTTGAGTTTTGGACTCATTTAATTTGTAATACGATATCTCACCAAATTGAGTTAAAATATCCTTGAGGTGTCTCAAAGATTCTTTTGGGTTTTTGATAGCTAGGATTATATCATCTGCAAACAAACCAATTTTGTGAACGGATTATTTAACAGCAATTCCTACAATTTGTGGGGTTGTCCTAATCAGTTCTGCCAGGGGTTCTATCGCTAAAACAAACAAAATTGGAGATAAAGGGCACCCCTGTCTCGTCCCGTTGGTTAGAGAAAAAGTTTTGGATGTGAAGCCAGAAGCTGAGACATGGGCGGAGGGTGCGCAATATAACGCCTTAATTGCTGTGATAAATGATGATGGTATGTTGAACCTGTCTAATGTTCTCCATAAATATCCCCAATGTATCCTGTCAAACACTTTTTCTGCGTCTAGAGATAGAAGCAAAGAAGGCGTTTTGGTCATATTGATGTGCTGAATCAAGTTTATGAATCTTCTAGTTCCGTCTGGCGCCTGTCTATTCTGCACAAAACCTACTTGATCTTTATTAATTAACAATGGGATTAGTTTGGTTAATCTATTAGCGAGAACTTTAGAATAAATCTTTGAATCATTATTAATCAGAGAAATGGGCCTAAAGTTAGGGCATCTATCGGGAGTTTTTCCCGGCTTTGGCAAAGTGACTATTCGTGCGCACAAGGACTCCTCTGGCATCTTTCCCTCGGACTTATAGGAATTGAACAATTTAGTCATATGGGGAATTAAAATTTCTGGAAAAGTTTTATAATATAAAAATAGTTAATCAGTCGGGACCAGGGGCTTTTCCAGATGGCATAAGTTTAATTGCCTCAGGTGCTATGGTTTCTATGGGTGGAGAGCAGAAGGAATACCTGTGGGAGATCTCTTATGCTCACCCTGTCAAAAAAGTTTTTTGGCATATATATGGCTTTGGCTATGTTGAAAAAATTGAATACACATGATAAAAATATTTTTTCTTCCAATCTATACATCAGTTGGCAATAATGGCAACTGATAGTGTAGATTTAGTCACTGTTACTGAGACATGGTATAATGAGAAAAATGACTGGGACATAGCAATACCAGGGTACTCTTTATATAGAAAAGACAGGGAAGGCAAGAAAGGAGGTGGGGTGCCCCTGTATGTGAAGGATAGCATAAAATCTAGCATAGTAAAAGTTAGTGAGGTGAACATAGAGTCCGTTTGGGTTACGTTAGAATTTGGTAATCACACAGTAACTCGTGTAGGTGTGATTTATAGGCCCCCAGGACAAATTGAAGAGTTAGATACCGTATTTTTCGCT